ATAGTACTCACATAAGTTAAGATTGTAAGTACTGTAAAGCTAAACGAAAAGACCCTTCACTCTTCTGCTACAGCTACTGATCAGCTTTATATAATTGCCAAATAGTCCTCCATTTATAATCTCAACAAAAACTGACTTAAACTTCGTTGGTTGAAAATTAAGTTGCCTAATAGTTTGCTATAATTTGTTAGAAAGAAGGTCTTAAAATAGCTTTTTTATAAAGTCTATATTTTCAATAGTCTATTTAAGGTAGAGATTATACGCTAGACTCTAAACTTTAGAGATTATAATCATCCTAAGATAGTGCTGCCAATTGAAGGTGAAGGTAGAAGCGCTATTATCAATATATAAGTATCTTAAGACTCAAGCATATATACCCTTATCCTCAATCTCTTAAGTTTAAAGTAGATAAAAGACGATAAAATGATTAAGGTTCTAATCAGCTATAATTGATTATTATAGTATAAATTAGGTAGATATTAGACTTAGAAATGATAGTTAAAAAAAGAAGGAAAGGTATAGAAAGTAAGATATATAAGATGGTAGACAGTATTTATAAGTGAAAAAAAAAGGAAAAATAACAAAGTGCTTATACAATTCATACAACCCAAACAATAAGATAAGACGAATTGATTATACTCATACAAAAGAAAGAAGTATATAATTAGGAAAAAGCTTCCTTTATTTTCATATAAAACATATTCATTATATAAATATAAATTAGACAAAGCATTTCCCCTTCAATCCTATACCTATCTATCCCTACGACAACAACCCTTCTTTATATCTCCTCCTTCGTATATACGATTATAGCTGTACAAAAACAATTTAGAAGATATTATATTAATTTAAGACTGATCAAGCCTAGCTCTTCTTTCCCTCTTTACTTACTTTAAATAAGTAGTATAAGTAAGGGAGAAAAAAAGGACAATTTTACGATTCGCCTCTTTTCATTATTTAATATAGGGTCTAACAGCGGCAATAAACGACCTATCAAAAAGCAGCGGTACCTCTTTTATAATTATAGCCTTAATAGAGAGAAAACTAATGAAAATAAGCCTTCTACACCTTAAGGTAGAAGGAAGCCTTCTACTGTCAATTATTGGCATACTATAAATCGTCTTAAAGAGCTTCCAGTTTCACATATATCTAAGCCTCCCTTTAGATAAGCCTTTGCTTCTTTACCACTTACTAGCCTAAACCCTAGACTGTCAACACCTATTAAACCTTAATCTTCTATAGAGGATGATAATATATAGAATCCTAAGGCTCCTATCAGATTTAGGCTATAGAGTAACGCTACCGTTCCTTCTCCTATGCTTATAAGACCTTCTAGTTCGACTAGAAGGCCACCGTCTGTTAAGCCACCTATTGATTAAAATAACCTTATAAAGCCTAGTCAACTAGCTCGATCAGCTGCTATAAGCTATATCAGTCTTACTAATCAAAGAGGAGCTGATTTTATACCTTCTTTACTAAGTCAACGAAAAGACACTATCATAAACATCTCTCAGACTTAGCTAAGGATGCCAATCAAAGAGGTTAGCTAAACTTATAGAATTATAAATATAAGAGCTAAAGCACTTTCTCTTATTAAGGAAATCAACCTAATTAGTCGACCAACTTATTTCTTTACGCTAGCTAGAGAGTATATGCTAAAGATATTTATATAATACTTTTCGTACGTTAAGCCTTAAAGTATGTAGATAAGACATAATAGACTAAACATCCTAATTACTTAAATAAAGCTAGGCCTTGTTCCTATCCCTACCTATATACTAGAGCTCTATAATCTAGAAGGATACTTAATAAGGAACGAATAGCTTATCTAGAAGGTGATCAAAGCTAGGCTACTTATAGAATGCTAAGATATCCTTACTTAAGTGTGGATTCTAACTACTACTATATAAGAATTAGAGACAAAGCAATTCCCTATAACTAAAGACAATATCCTTTTTATCCAAACTCGCTGATTTCTTATATACTTGCTATATTAGCATAATCATTAGTATTTAAATATCTATGATTAGGCTTACTATAATGCCTACTTTTTCGACTCTTTCCTTAAAGAATCTTCGGCTTAATATATATGATGGGTAAAAGAACTATTAGAGGACTGACTAAAAGAGTAAGAGATATTGGTTCTAACTTATAAAACTTTGACAATATAGTCAGTATAGATTACTACTTAAAGAGCCTACTAGAAGTATAGTCTCTTTTTGCTTGAAAATATATAGATATTCCTTAGAAAATAATACCTTTACTATACTAAGCTAGCCATTGACTAGATAGACTCGAAAGTCTATAAAGGTTGTAAAGATTCTAATCTTTAAGACTTAATATAAGAGCTTTAGATTATCATAATTAGGAAAGAGATTGAAAACAAGATAGCCTTACGTATGTCTGAAGCTCCTTAAATCAATAACACTTAGGAGGATTAGATCTTTAGAGTCTCAAACTTTATTATCGCTACAGAAAGACCTAAAGTCAAGATAGAATATAACGACTATATTTTAAAGATGAACATAAAGGTTGACTCTAATGAGTTAAAGAAGATATTTAATCCTTGAAAAGATATCTTCAATCAATTGTTAAAAGATAAAGCTAATAATAAAACTAAGGTTTATTAATATGGTTAAAAGACTTTTTTTATAAATATAAAGGGTGATTTAATAAAGGAAGAAATGAAGGCTTTAAGCAACAGAGTCAGCTCTATAGATCTAGATGGTAGTAGAGTCCCTTCTTACGATAGCTTAAGTAGAGGAAGTATATCCGAATATTATACCTAAATAAGCAATCGAACTATATCATTAAGTCGACTCCTTATTTCTCGAAAACAACCTAATAATGATCAGCAAAAATAGATTCCTACTAAGCCTTAAGTACCATAGTCAGATGATAAACCACCGATCAAGAAACACCCTACTTATAATCATCACCTTAAACCTAATACCTACTTATCACCATCATATAAGGCTAGATAGATAGGCTAAGCTAATTATAAGAGAGAATAAAGACTAATCATCAGAAAGACTTATCTTAATCTAGTATAGAAGAAAGAAGAGCAAAATAGAGCCTAAGATTTAAAGGCTTAGCAAAAGCAAAGATCTAAGGCTATAGAAGCTTCTATTTTATCTCTTATACCTTAATCTCCTTAGAGTAGCATTGTATGGTCTAATCACTCTCAAAATCCTTCTTAGCCTTCTTAGAACCTTAATCGAAGGAAAGAATCGCTTCCTACTAAAGGTAGTCAGACTTAATAGAAGCATAGTAAAAGATATCTAAGTAAGTCGACAAGGTTTAGTAAGAGACTTTACAAACAGTATAAAAAGCTGTAAAGTCTATTGATTAAGACTCTATCTAGCTAGATAAGCTAGTAGACTATCTTAAGCTTTATATATTATTAGTTTTCTTACCTTTTGTTATATCTTAGTCTCTTCTTAATGGTTGGTAGTGACCAAGATGGGGAGAAGTAAGTTAGGAAAGTAGGGTCTTACCTCTGCCAGCAATCA